CTCATATATTTTGGCAATGTACAAAAATACAAATCTACTGGGATCAAGTTCTTCAGGCTATAGAAGAAATAATAGGATACAAGATACCCAAGGACCCACAAATTATGTACTTGGACTGGATGGAGAGAGAACGAGTACACAGGAAAGGCATCTATCTCCTCAAAATCTTGATAGTGGCAGCTAAAAAGGTGATTACCAGAAAATGGTTAAATAGTGACCCTCCACACCTGATGCAATGGATATCAATATTAGGGGAAATCTTCACAATGGAGAAAATGACCCAGCACCTAAGGATCAAGTACAAATATCTGTAGCAAAACTGGAGAAAGTGGTTTGATTACACAAATGAGAAAGGACTCTGTTATACCTTTGCTGTATTTTTAATGCCCTTCTCTGTTCACATTCCATTTAGTGTTTTTTTTTTTTTTTTTGTGCAAAATTGAAAAATATTGAATAAAAAGTAAAAAAAAAAAAAAAAAAAAAAACTGAATGACTTTTAATGGTTTTAAATGACCCTCGGTATCCCATAACTTTTTATTATCTTCAGTTGAACCCTGTAGTTGATGAAATCTACTATTCCTGCAGGAAGTGGAGCAGCTGCGCCTCGAGCGTCTCCAGATAGACGAGCAACTCCGTCAAATTGGGGTGGGATACCGTGCTCCTCCCAGCCGGACCGGAGGTCCCGCAGGTGACCGGGAGAAAGGCTACACTACAGATGAGAGCAGCAACTCACTCCATGCATCCCGTACCTATGGCGGGCGCGGCAGAGGACGAAGGCCCTCTAACAACCAGTATTCCGGATACGGTGAGAGGGAATGAAAATAAGCATTTCCATCTAATGGATTGTAGCAGTGTGTCCCCATGGTTTACAGCCAACACTGACAAAAACATGTAGACAGCTGTTGTGTTAACGCTCCTTAAAAATCAGTGTCCTATTTTTTTTTTTTTTTATAAATGAGTGTCTTTAAAGATAGAAACAAAACAAGCATTTAAAATTATTTAAAAATCAAGCATTAAGTTCAAAATTTAAGTTGGTAAAAAACCCTTTTAAAAGAGAAATAAAATAGATTGGGTACACTGACTTAAATATGAACCGTATAGATGTTTGATTGAAAAAACAGGATAGAAATAAAGACTGGTTTCTATTAACCGTTCAACTGTCTGTTGCAGGCACCAACTCTGAATTGTCAAACGCTTCTGAGTCAGAGGATGTTAATGATCGAGAGACGAGACCCCGCGGCATCAGTGGGGATGAGAGAGGCTCCAGACGGGGTGGCAGGGGCCGAGGTACCAACTCAGGACGAGGGCGTGGGGGCCCTGCTGCCAAACCTTCCAATTCTATCAGCTCAGGTACACTTTGAATCATTACTGTATACATTACATTACGCCTGGATCGTTTGTCATCGATACTGACACATAGAACTAGGGCTGGAAGATATTTACTCAAATCAATATCATGATAAATTGGACAGTTTTACCTTGATGACGATAAATGCTCCAGCTCCTCTAGCTGAAAATAATGGCATGTGCTGGAAATGCAACAGAAATATTTTTCATTTATCTATTGATCAAATCAGATTACATGTTGCTTTCAGAGAAATGTGAAAGTTTTGTAACCATTCATTTAAAGATTCAACAATGTCTCACTGAGCAGGAGAAAAATGATCTGGTCATGAACGTTGCGCGAAAGTAATGGAGCCTTTTGCCCATATTTGAACTCAACAGCATAGTTGTGCTGTAGCTGGTGGAGGTTGGATGTGTTATTTTAGGTAGTCCCAACAGTTTGCATTTTGTGTTCTTTTGCTCAATATCAATGGCAGGATTTTTCGAACCACTGAACTGAGCGCACAGTGGGAACGATGTGAATAGTTTAAAGCCACACACACTATCTTAAAAGTTGTCTGCTGCGTGCTCAACTCTGACAACACGTGCTCAACTTCATCTCTGTGGAAAATTGTCACCGTTTTTTTAAAGTGAATGACGGTAACGGTAAAAGTCTGGTTTATCACCCAGGTCTACATGAACACAATTTTGCATTTAGATCAGACTTGGCGCTCGCTGAGAGAGAATGGGGATGAACAGACCCGTTGCAATTTTCTGTACGGGGGCTTCAAAGCTCCGACTGAGATGCACTCAATTTCTATTTTAGTTGGACTAGGCTAGCTTCGTGAGACCATCCTGATCTCGTGAGCTTTCAAGGTTTCACTCGCAGATCAGTCTGGCTACTTTCCGTTAAAGAATAAATTGGAGCCGTTCACCAAACGAACGTCCAATCAGCGTTGGCTTTGAGGCGGGTTGAGGTGTGACGCAACAAGAAGCGCGACAGTTCAGTCTAAAGAACATGGCGGCTTCAGCCGATGAAACTAGCGTTAGCGTGGCTATCGAGCAAGTTTTATTGGAATTACAGAGTATTTCTTCACTGAAAGAAGAGCAAAACACTGCTCTGGAGGCTTTTCTCAGAGGAAAAGATGTTTTTGCTCTTCTCCCGACTGGTTTCGACAAGAGTTTGATCTATCAATTGGCTCCTCTTCGTCGTCTCTCTGTTAGTCCGTCATATGCTTCGTTGATCTGATTGGTTTATTTGGCCCGTCTATCACCAACATAGGCCAATCAGCTAACCAGTATTTTCGCCCCTTCCCAAAATTACTTCAACGGAAGGTTTCCAGATGGATATGCAGAGCAAATCCTTCTGGCGGAGTCGGGTTAGGACTAGGCAGCAATTCAGCCACAATTTCATGGGTGTGGCAGCACAAGAGGCGTGGTTACAAAGTAACAATCATCCGCTTTGGGAAAAATGCTAAATAAAATCTATCAATCAGAAGGGAAGCCGGTTAGGTTGCGAGTCACTCAGCGCAAATATAACAGGCAGGGCAGGCTCTGACATAAACAATCAGTAAAACTTGCATAATATTTAATGATAGTTTAGGAGAACAGAAAATGGATAAACTGAAATGGTGATCCTCCTTGAGCCTCATTAAAAAAACAAAACAAAATGATGCATGAAAGTGCAGCTCATGACTCCCCTATTTATGGAAAAAAAAAAAGAAAAAAAACTTCTCAGAGTGCTCTCTGAGAATCACTGCTCTCTGCTCATCTGCCATACTATATTTTCATATATTAAAATCCTCTGTCTGTTTTGGTTTAACAACATACTGTGCAGGGTGGCCATGAAGTGAAGGTTTTCTTTGTAGTGGTGCTGGCTCTTTTTTTATTTATTATTTTTTTCTTTTCTTTTTTCTTTTATTAATCTGACCAACTCAAATGTTTGCTATTCTTTGGGTTCTCTAGTCATATTGTAGTCTGTGACATGGAAAGAAATTGGATCTGAGATTAAAAAGTCAAACGCAACTGATTAGAACCAGCATTAACTCTAGAGGAGCATCAGATCTCCAGGCTCTGGAAGAAGAATCTATCCCGACAAAGATAAGTCCTCAAGTCCTTTATGGAAGAGTAGAAGGAAATTAATTTATGAAAGAAACTAATGTTGCCCTGAAAAAAATAGGTTAGAATAGTTGTGAGGAGCGGTCGGTCTAAAAACTATTGACTTTTTGTTTGAATTTAATTGTAGAAAATTTGAACACAGACATTTTTTCCTCCATTTAATAATCATGCTGTTATGTGTCTGTATATTTGATCAGTCCTAATATAATGTGTCAAAGTTTCTGGATGTGACAATAAGTGAAGAATGCCCTCCTAAACTCCTAAAGAGAGAAAAATGTATTGAGCGTAACACTTTTAAACATCTAATCACATAATTTCTTGTTTAGACTGTCGATGGAGTATCGCAAACAAATAACATCTTGATAATATTTTTTTTGTTTTATGTTTAGTTCTAAGGGATCCAGACAGTAACCCATACTCTCTGCTGGAGGGAGAGGCAGAGCTTGCAGATGCTGACCTTAGTGAGGGCATGGGAGGGGACCGCCACAGACGATCCCGCCGTCGACGCAACGATCAAGAGCCTAGTGTGATAGACGCTGCTGGAGAGTCGGATAATCAGGCCGGCCCCAGTGAGAACGGACTAGGTGAGAACTATTCGGTGTAACCGCCCTTGGCTTGGAAATGCTTTCTAGATGAGACTTGGAAAGGAAAACCTCCAAAGAACATGAACAATTCCTTCTGATTTGATTATTAGATGATGAAGCTCGACCTCAGCGCCGAAACCGGAGCCGCCGCCGCCGGAACCGTGGCAGCCGCCCAGAGGGAGGGTCAGCTAGCCGTGACAGACAGCCAGCAGAAAGTGGTAGGTAACGAAGTTCTCCAAAGAATCAAGACATTCTCTTATTCTAGCTGACAGTTTGATGTTTCCAGTGACCGTTGCTGACTACATATCCCGTCCTGAGTCCCAGAGCAGACAGAATCTGCCCCAGAAGGAGAACCAAACTGGACCTGAACTCAAGGTAAACAGAGAGACACATCAGACTTTTAGTGTTGCCTCCAAAGTTCTTTTTTTTTGTGAAGCTGTGAGCCGCTGATTACAGGTATCCTAAAAAATTAAGATATATGCATTCAATTAAATTCAATTCAGTTTATTTCTATAGCGCCAATTCAAAAGACATGTCATCTCAAGGCACTTTACAGTTGAAACGGATCATACAGCCCAATTGATTCAAAATTTTCTATCTAAGGAAAACCAGTTGATTTCATCAACTCATTGACTTGAAGGCAATCCCTCACACTAAGCATGCTTTTAGGGATAGTGGAGAGGAAAAGCTCCATTTTTACCAGAAAAAAACTCCCTTTTGAGCCTGGCTCAGTGTAAACGGCCACCTGCTGAGGCTGACTGGGGTTCAAGGACACAGAATCAGACATAAAAAAGGCGGCTCCAACCAGGAAACATACAGCCAGGCAGACAAGCCCTGAGCCAGCCCCCATGTTAGAGGATGAAGAGAGCACACCCAGCCAGTCACAGTCAGAGAAACAGGATTATACTGGAAAACAGGCAGATCTCCAACATCTATAAACAAAGCTGTTGATGGTAGCAGCACAGCTGATATTTCTCTCCAGGAGGGAGTCACAGCCAAAGAGGAACAGATGAGGTGAAGATATTATGAGAAAAAGCAGAGAGAGCATAATGTTAGAGATTGAACTAACATATTCTACAGACTGGGAGCATAGAGATAGAATGATGAAAAAATAGGTAACGACTTTAAGAGTATATCAGACAAAGACTAGTGCCTTCACAGAGTGTAAAATGGTCACATTTTTGAGTTGTCGACTGATCGATTTCTATTCCGGCTGATCAAGCTGCTAATCTTTTCATTCTGGCCAACAGCTCTTTTGTTTATGTATTTATAATACAGAGTTAATTTTAAGATTGACACAAATACGTTTGTTAGGTGATAAATGTCAACATTTTTACACATTTGTAATTCACAGGAGAACGGAACCAGCTCAAAGGAGGAGCGGACGCCATCAAAGCGTTCTCCGAGCAAGGAGACGCCGACTTTGGTCAACGGGGTCTCATAAGGAGAATGGCCCCATCCCTCGCGAAACCCAAGTCTCAAGCAAGACTCCATGGCAAACTGTGTCCCTGCTTGCATTAAGTTAAACCTTAAAGTGATGAAAAGTACCTGACAAAATACCTGAGTTCATACTGAGATGGAAAAAGTTAAAAAAGAAAAAAAAAAAAAAAGACGCATCAACAACTAAAAACCACACGTTAACGGTGTATGCTATCCTATCTATCAGTACTTAGTGCTTATTTAAAACCACGACTAGCTTGCCAAAAAGAGCTGGTGCATATGACTTCATTTCTAAAGATAACGAAAACACAAGAAACAGGACAAGACTTAATTTTTTTATTTTAACGGTTGTCTTTCTTTGTGTCCTTTTTTTGTTTAATGTTAATTCTGTTCATTGTTTATCACTGGTTTGGACTGGGCCGTTGAGCTCTCCACTAAAACGGACGTGTCTTGGTGTTAAAAAGAACCGACGAGATGCGAGCCGCAGGCGTGTGAGCAGAAAGTCGTGCAGATCACGTGAAGCAGTGTTCACACAGAGCAAAGATGGATAGATCGGAATATTGATAGAATATTGTGCCTTGAATTTGAAAAAGAAAAATAATAAAAACAACTTCAGTTTTTCCATAAAGTTTGCGTTTTGTTTCATGAGAAGAGAGGAAGTTATTCTTCCGCTTTAAATATTTTTTATTTAAAGATTTCGTTTGATGGGATGCAACAGACCTGAGAGGGAGTGGATGGAGAACCGGAGAATAGCTGACAGGTTTAAAGGAAAATGGTCTAGTGCCAAATAACAATTCAATGATGCTCGTCCCTTATTCCACCTAAAATGGACAAGATATGGGGCAGAGTGTAAAAGTCAGTTTGTACGCACAAATGAAAAGATTTGTTAAGTGCTAGTTTTAATTTTCCAGGGGAAGATGTCACTTCCTTCTCTCGCCTATTGATCTTTTGAGGGTCCAGGGCTGAGTTCAGACAGGCACACTTGAACTGTAGATTTAAAACACATTAACTACACAGTGCCTCTTTTTCTGTGTCAGAGGAAGTGGCTGCATGTTTTTTACTCCCAGCCATGCTGGTGATAAACCCCGGCAGGGGGCAGCTCCAGAAGCACAGGAGGTTTACCTTCCGTGGCAAGAGTGTTTCTGTTAGGATGGGGGTGGGAGGGCCAAGATACTGCAGAATGGAGTGGGACAGCTTCAAAGAGGACCAGAGCCTCCTGACATACAGGTACACATATACACACTGAGCACCGAAGGGGGACAGAGCAATGCGGTATGAATAAAGTGAAGATATTGGTCCTGCACCGGGCAGTTCGGGTTGACATACTGGAAAAAGACAGACTGGAAACCTCAGTGGCTCTCTGCACATGTTGTTATACAGTTGGCTTGGTTACAGCTCTCGGTTCATATTTTGTTGCTATTTCCACATCTTTAGAAAAAAAAAAAATCTGAAATAAAACATTGAAGTGAAATCAACCTCTCCTGTGGAAATGAGCTCTGATTTCTTTGTCTTGTGAGTTTGCAGTCTATTTTTCTACCTTGCATGTCATTTAGTTACTGAGTGGTGCCTGGCCAGTGCATGAGGAAAAGCGTTATTGATCTGATTTTTTTTTTTTTTTAAGCCATTGTAACTTGCTAGAATTGCTGCTAATTTACCCACAGAATGTCCAACTAATGTAGAAATTCTGCCTTGGAAAGAGAACTTTGTGTCTCAATTATTCCCCCCCCTCCTCTGCATCCTCGGTAGTTGGGAAAGGACTCCCTTTGCTCATTAGTCTCACAGAATATAAAATCCAAGGGCAATATTGTGCATGTCAAGCAAGCATCCAAGTGACCAAAGGTTTGGAAAGACAGACGGCAGGCAGTGCAGCTGATCAGAGATGCTCCCTCTCCCATGCTGCTGCTGTAGATTTCTGCCTGACCTGTACGTTGTGTTTTCAAAGAATGAACGGGCGATGGAGTGTTTGGACCTTGGTTTGGTTGCATGTGTGAATGGAAGTTATTTTGCCTTTTTACCTCACTCTGACTGCTGTATTTTTTATTTTTACCTGTAATCTTTGTGTTGTATTAAGACTGCCCGTGTGTGTGTGTATGTGTGTGTGTGTGTTTGGATGCTAGATGTACTGTTGACCCTTTCACTGTCAGATTTTGTCTCTGGTTTTCTCACTCATGTTCTGATGGCAATAAAGGACTTTTCATTGTTTGGTATATCTTCTTTTGCAACAGTTTATTAACAGCATTTGTTCTTTGTGGACTAAACAGAACATTTTGTACAAATCTTTGAAACATTTTGAGATTTATCAGGTTTTTATGAAGTGTTGTAGATAATTTGGAACAAAAAAAACAGCAACCCTGTTGCATATACACTACCGTTCAAAAGTTTGGGGTCACATTGAAATGTCTGTTTTAGAAGGAAAATCACTACTTTTCAATGAAGATAACTTTAAACTAGTCTTAACTTTAAAGAATTACACCCTATACATTGCTAATGTGGTAAATAACTATTCTAGCTGCAAATGTCTGGTTTTTGGTGTAATATATACATAGGTGGATAGAGGCCCATTTCCAGCAACTATCACTCCAGTGTTCTAATGATACATTGTGTTTACTCATTGGCTCAGAAGGCTAATTGATTATTAGAAAACCCTTGTGCAATCATGTTCACACATCTGAAAACAGTTTAGTTTGTTACAGAAGCTACAAAACTGACCTTCCTTTGAGCAGATTGAGTTTCTGGAGCATCACGTTTGTGGGGTCAATTAAACACTCGAAATGGCCAGGAAAAGAGAAATTTATCTGAAACTCTACAGTCTATTCTTGTTCTCAGAAATGAAGGCTATTCCATGTGAGAAATTGCTAAGAAATTGAAGACTTCATACAACGGTGTGTACTACTCCCTTCAGAGGACCGCACAAACAGGCTCTAACCAGAGTAGAAAAAGAAGTGGGAGGCCGCATTGCACAACTGATCAAGAAGATAAGTACATTATTCTCTAGTTTTAAAAACGGACGTCTCACAGGTCCCCAACTGGCATCTTCATTAAGTAGTACCCGCAAAACACCAGTGTCAACATCTACAGTGATTCTGGGCTTCAGGGCAGAGTGGCAAAGAAAAAGGCATATCTGAGACTGACCAATAAAAGAAAAATATTAAGATGGGCAAAAGAACACAGACATTGGACAGAGGAAGACTGGAAAAAAGTGTTGTGGACGGATGAACCCAAGTTTGAGGTGTTAGGATCACAAAGAAGAATGTTTGTGAGATGCAGAACAAATGAAAAGATGCTGGAAGAATGCCTGACCCCATCTGTTAAGCATGGTGGAGGTAATGTGATGGTCTGGGGTTGCTTTGGTGCTGGTAAGGTGGGAGATTTGTACAGGGTAAAAGGGATTCTGATGAAGGAAGGCTATCACTCCATTTTGCAACGCCATGCCATACCCAGTGGACAGCGTTTGATTGGAGCCAATTTCCTCCTACAACAGGACAATGACCCTAAACAGAAGCAGGCATTCTATCGGTAATGGAGTGGCCAGCGCAGTCACCAGATCTGAACCCCATTGAGCTGTTGTGGGAGCAGCTTGACCGTATGGTACTCAAGAAGTGCCCATCCAACCAATCCAACTTGTGGGAGCTGCTTCTGGAAGCGTNTGTTTTAGAAGGAAAATCACTACTTTTCAATGAAGATAACTTTAAACTAGTCTTAACTTTAAAGAATTACACCTTATACATTGCTAATGTGGTAAATAACTATTCTAGCTGAAAATGTCTGGTTTTTGGTGTAATATCTACATAGGTGTATAGAGGCCAATTTCCACCAACTATCACTCCAGTGTTCTAATGTTACAATGTGTTTGCTCATTGGCTCAGAAGGCTAATTGATTATTAGAAAACCCTTGCGCAATCATGTTCACACATCTGAAAACAGTTTAGTTTGTTAAAGAAGCTACAAAACTGACCTTCCTTTGAGCAGATTGAGTTTCTGGAGCATCACGTTTGTGGGGTCAATTAAACGCTTAAAATGGCCAGAAAAAGAGAACTTTCATCTGAAACTCGACAGTCTATTCTTGTTCTTAGAAATGAAGGCTATTCCATGCGAGAAATTGCTAAGAAATTGAAGGCTTCCTACAACGGTGTGTACTACTCCCTTCAGAGGACAGCACAAACCGGCTCTAACCAGAGTAGAAAAAGAAGTTGGAGGCTGTGTTGCACAACTGAGCAAGAAGATAAGTACATTAGAGTCTCTAGTTTTAAAAACAAATGCCTCACAGGTCCCCAACTGGCATCTTCGTTAAATAGTACCCGCAAAACACCAGTGTCAATATCTACAGTGAAGAGGCAGCTGTGGGATTCTGGGCTTCAGGGCAAAGAAAAAAAACATATTAGACTGGCCAATAAAAGAAAAAGATTAAGATGGGCAAAAGAACACAGACATTTAACAGAGGAAGACTGGGAAAAAGTGTTGTGGACGGACGAATCCAAGTTTGAGGTGTTAGGATCACAAAGAAGAACGTTTGTGAGACGCAGAACAAATGAAAAGATGCTGGAAGAATGCCTGACGCCATCTGTTAAGCATGGTGGAGGTAATGTGATGGTCTGGGGTTGCTTTGGTGCTGGTAAGGTGGGAGATTTTTTACAGGGATTCTGAATAAGGAAGGCTATCACTCCATTTTGCAACGCCATGCCATACCAAGTGGACAGCGCTTGATTGGAGCCAATTTCATCCTACAACAAGACAATGACTTTAAACACACCTCCAAATTGTGGAATAACTATTTAGAGCGAAAGCAGGCAGCTGGTATGCTATCGATAATGGAGTGGCCAGCGCAGTCACCAGATCTGAACCCCATTGAGCTGTTGTGGGAGCAGCTTGACCGTATGGTACTCAAGAAGTGCCCATCCAACCAATCCAACTTGTGGGAGCTGCTTCTGGAAGCGTGGGGTGCAATTTCTCCAGATTACATCAACAAATTAACAGCTAGAATGCCAAAGGTCTGCAATGCTGTAATTGCTGCAAATGGCAGATTCTTTGACGAAAACAAAGTTAGATGTAAAAAAAAAAAAAAGAAAAATTTCAAATACAAATCATTGTTTCTAAGCTTGTCAATGTCTTGACTCTGTTTTCTATTCATTTCACAACGTATGGTGGTGAATAAGTGTGACTTTTCAGGAAAACACAAAATTGTTTGGGTGACCCCAAACTTTTGAACGGTAGTGTAAATGTGGTCTTTATTTAATGCCAATTCCTTTGGAAAGTTTTAGGAGCTTAGTTAAATGGGAATTGAAAAATAATAGAAAATCCCTTTATTGTCCCACAAGGAAAAATGCTGGTGTTACAGCAGCAAAAGGATTATAGAAAAAATTGTCACACAAATAAGGACCTTAGAAAAATGTATAAGAATAACATAATATTGAAGAGTTAAAAGATAAACAAAATACTGTAAAGTGTTTTAATCATATAAAACTGCAACTGGAGAATAAATAACCAAAATGCAGCTATGGGCATTTTTACAGTAATGGATATTTGAAAATAGAAGCAACATTAGAGATGTGCAAAATGACAGCAGCATGGTATTTATCTCGCTATGGTAGAAACTGCAAAATCAGCATGAGCTTATTGAGGTTGTTTGGGAACAGTGGTGGTTATAGAGTCTTAGAGCTGCTGAGAGGAAGGATCTGTGATAACGCTCCCTGGTGCATTTAGGGTGCAGCAGTCTCACTGAAGGAGATCTGCAGTTCTGCAACAGCTTCATGCATGGGGTGGGAGATGTTATCCAACAAACATGTTCATTTAGTTAGGATCCTTTAGTTTCCAACCTCCTGCACAGAGGGCATCCAATCACAGAGCTGGAAAAATGAGTTGTGTTGTAATATTTGACTGTGACACTTTTAATGCACAAAAGTAAATATGTTAAACAGTATGTACTTTGAAATATGAAGTGAAATATAAAACTTATGGTAAATGTTGTCAAAGGCAAAAAAAAATAGGGCAAGCACTGCAAATGTCAATGGAAGGATATATTCCAATTTGTTCCCATAATAAATTCATTGTTATTCCAGCTGTTCTAGCTTCATTTAAGGAAGTCTAAATGCCTCAAGTTCTTGACTTTGCAACAACTTTTCAGCATAACTAAATTTCTGGAGCAAATTGTAAGGTTAAGGCTAAAAGAGTGAACATTAAGACATCTCCTAACCCCAGAACCTGATTACTTCAGGGATCTCAAATGTGTAATATCAGAAAGATAACCTAAGGTTTTACAGGAAGAACAATTATGTTATTTAAATCTATGCTTTGGCTATTTTAATACTCAAATATTACTAAAGGCTCGGGAATTGTCAACGAAATTGAGAAAAATATATTCTTACACTTTGTTTTACAGTAAGAAAACTAATATTACTAATATATTGCACTTTTTTATTTTATTTCTAATCGTCTTTAAAATGACAAGTAAAAAAAAAAAACAGACAACTGTGAAACTTGTTGAACCAGGAAACTTTACATAACCTACAACTGCCATTTTGGACAAACCTTTTCCGTATATTCTTCACCCAATCACAGCACGCGATTCCTGATTGGCAACTGGATCCCCCAATCAGATTGCTGCTTCTCGCCAACCGCCATCCACATTTTTCATATTTGTGTGATTGGCGTTGCTTTCGATCTCGTCCCCAAATCGTAAGTAAGACTCTTGACATATTCGGTTAGTCTCGGTTCTATTTCTTTATTACATACACGTCCACGTTTGTATTCGCGTATTATACAGTTGCCGAAACCTAAAGTTGTATTTGATAGCGCCAGTGAATGCCGCGTATTTTGTTGCTAATGCTCGCTTGCTAGTGGCAATCCGGCTAGTAGCTATGTGAGCAGGAAGTGCAAACAATTAAGCTTTTTTATCTTCCTATTTAAAGTTGCTTCTGTATTTAGAAGTTATGTTCTGACCAACGCCCCCTATTAAGTATAAATCTTTTAATTGTATTTTATTTGCTTTAATCCTTAACTTCAGCTTTCTGTTTCCTGTTCGCGACGCTCAAGTTTCGCCATTAGACCTCTGCTTTCTGCCCATCAACCCGTTTCCATTTCCTTCCACTCTCCGCTCAGGACGGTACACTGGAGCAGCCATGGTGAAGATCTTCATCGGGAACCTTTCTCCGGAAACTTCGAGAGAGGACATTGAAGCTCTCTTTCTGAAGTACGGCACGGTGACGGAATGCGCGAAGTACAAAAACTACGCGTTCGTACACATGGATGATCGCAAGTCGGCAACCAAAGCTATCCGCGAGCTCCATCTGCACAAGGTGGACGGCAGGCCGATCAACGTGGAGCCCAGCAGAGGGAAGAACCAGGGACCCGTGAAACTCCACATCGCTAATGTCGAAAAAGGTTTTGATCACGAGCTGCGTGAACTGTTCGAAGAGTACGGCACAGTTACAGAGTGTTCAATTGTAAAGAACTTTGCATTTGTTCACATGCCTCATCATGATGAGGCCATGGATGCTATGGAGGGCCTGGATAACACAGAGTTTCAGGGTAAGAAGCGCCTCTGTTTTTGAGAAATACAATTTATCATCTATAAATTGTACATATTCCTACGGGGTTTCTGCAGACTATAGCTCAGGGCTTATTTATTTAAGAAATCCTCTCTAACAGCATGTTACTGTCACAAGGTTAGTGACAGGACCATAGCTAAAATGCACAAGAAGTCATGCCCCTCAAATGAAGCTCACTGGGGGGATTTCCAACTTTTTATAGTGCTCTAATACTTTATAGTAGATTAATATCAGTCTGGTGCGATTAATTTTTATGGGGCTATTATTTAACTGACATGAATGTTTCAACTAATTTTGTGTGTGTGTGGAACCAGAGTCCCTCTTTTTCTACTCTGACAAACTGACATGAGATGCACCAGTAGATTGTAATAAGGCTTTTAGTTTGAGCTCATATTTCTTTTTTTGTCTCTTAGGAAAGCGTATTCATGTTCAGGTATCGAAAAGCAGACCAAGAGGGGGTCCTGAGGAGGAGGAGGAGGAATATCCACCTCCACCCATTAGAGGAGGCTTCTATCCTCCGTATTACCCAATGCCAAGGCCAGAACCCCCCTACAGAGGACGCATGCCTGCTTACCCACCTCCTCCTCCCCCTCACCTGGCCCCACCACCTCCTGTGAGACGAGCCCCGTATCCTGACCGTGGCTATGGTGACAGAATGTCTTATGGAGCAGTGGATTACTATGAGAAGTACCGAGCCCGTCCTTACAGCTCCACAGCCTACGATGATAGGCGCGCCATACCCCCTCCTCCGCCTCCTTCATCAGCGCTGGTTAGAGAACGCCTCGGTATGGCGTCATCGCTCGACCCATACGACCGGCGTCCCCTTCCAACCCCGTCCAGCTATGGGGTGAGGGACCGCAGCCCAATTAGAAGAATTCCCCCTCCACCTGCACCATCGACTGGGAATGGGTATTCCTACGAGCGCTCCCGGCTCTCGCCGATGTCCAGAGCTCCAGTTTATGCCGCTCCCCGTACCAGGGATCCCTATGCAGAGAGAGTGGCTCCTCCGCCACCTCCTCGCTACGCAGGTTATTAGTGGGCCTGAGTGGAACACAAGGTAAGAACTGCAACTTGTTTTTTAGCTGTTTTGCCCCATTAGAAATGTTTTCCTGTTAAAAATAAATAAAATGATTTAATATGGGCTCCCATCTCGTATCGTTTCCATCCAGTGGAGCATCTTAACTCCTGATCATCCTCTTAAGCCATCATATAAACAGCCAATCAATAAAATAAAACTTAGATTTTTGCGCCTTAAGGCTTGAAATATTAGAATGAATTCAGATTGCGCGAGTTCATACCAGAACGCGCTCCTTTGACTTGTTTCGTGTGCTCTCTCTCCAGGTTTTAGAATATGACAAGATCGTCGTCTGCTGATGTACGTGGCGCTATACACCCAGCACGTCAATGGCGGATCGCGTTGCGTTCCCCTGAGGCTAACAGGAAGATATTGCGGACGGCCTCGTATTAAAAAACAAAACAAAAACATACAACTCCATCTCTACGACTGTCCTGAGCTGTTCATGAACTTTGTGTTCCTCAAGTTGTTTTTTCTCCTCGGATTATTCTGAAAGTATTTAACAGAATAGTTATTGAGACTTGTTTGGAGTGACGCATAATTCTCTAGTTGATGCCCGAAAAACCATTTTCTTTTCAAAATCTTTTCTAATAGCCTCTGAGAAACTTGGTAGTTTTTCATAATAAGGGATTTCCTTTAATAAAAAATCTTTGGTATTTACAAGGAAATTAGTTTTAAGTATAAGCTTGTTGGTTGATTTAGAAAATGTTGCAGTCATTTCCAATCAGTTAAAGGAATTCTCTGGATCTTGAAATATTTGCGACACTTCTAGGAGAGAGCTCTAAAATTTTTCCGGTGGATTATTATTTTTTTCTTTCTTTGTGCTATTTTTACACTTTGTTCATTTTTGCTTGCGGTACTCCTATTTGTAGGCACACTCTGTTTGAATTGTATTTCCTTTTTATTTTAAGGCTTTTAATAAACAATTGAAACCAAAAGAAGCATTTAATTGTGACGTTATTCCTGGTTTTGCCTGGTAGGCGGGTCTCTATTCAGCAGAGCAGCTGAATCTTGGTGTTGCACTGCTTTCACTTTTCTTTACACACTTGTTTGAGTTCATCTTGGTTCTTGGTGGGGGAGGTCAGGAAAAACTAGTTTGAGCAGTTTAGAATATCTCCAACCTTAGTTTCATCGAAGCGAGAAATACATGCTCATTAGTTGTACTTTTTTTAGGGGTGAGTGTTGGCCTAGTGATTACAGCAGTGCGCTTGTGCTCTGAGAAGGTTGCAAGTACCCAGTTTGATCTACACAGCCTCCACTCTAGGTCTCTGAGCAGGACCCTTAACCCCCACACTGCTCCCGGGTGCCACACAATGGCAGCCCACTGAAGGGGTTGGGTTAAATGCAGAGGTAAATTTCTCCTGTGTGAGATCAATAAAGTTCTATTATTACGATAACATACACTCTATGGCACTCTTGCCTTATTCCCCCCCTTTTTTTTTTTCTTGCCTTTAGTTCTTTAAAATTTTGCAATCCTTGATTTAAAAATGGAGGAAAGATTGAGATTAAATGTTTTTTCTGCCTTCTGTTTTTGCCAAGTCAGCTAAAATCTTTCTTATAAGGTATGATCAGGTATCTAAATCCTGAGGCGGTACTCTTGGGCGTGAAGCAGCTGGGCTACATGATTTGTTTACGGCAGCATCTTTAGATTTTTCAGCTCGTACTTTACCTGCTATACTTTCATTCCTGGCATTACGGACTACCTAATTCCTTTCTGTTCTTTTAAATTCTCAAAATGTTTAACTTTCTTGTTTCATTCAACATCTCCTTTCCGTCATCGTCCATTAGGCTTGTTGAGCTTTCACAGGTTTTTCTTTAAAAATCGATTGCTTGCACTTTTGGTATTCTTGATATTTGTGCTCCTTTTGTAGGTGGTTAAACCATCTACAGGAGAAGTAAGTCATCCCCGATGCCCTGGAAGACAAAGGTAAATGTCTCAGCTGTGCTTCCTAAAGCTGTAAACGTTTTTATTTAGCACTGTAAGTCAAACATTTGAAAGCAGAATATAGGTACGTACAATAAAGAACACTTCTATTTGGTATATTTTAAAACACTAATATTCTAATTTATTTACTTTTGATTATACTAAAATTAGTTACTTTTATGCTATAAAATTAGTGTGCACATGAGTGGCTGTTAGATTAAACAGAGGTCCATTTAAAAAGGCAGGTTTTAAAGACTTAAATCGTGACCTCTGAATTGTTCGAGCCTAACGTTGGATTTAGTTAAATAGACTCTTAATTAGTTCCCCAAAAAAAAAAACAGTCCACCTAACATTGTTTCCAAGTTTGAAGATGTTACGCTTCCCAAACGGGAAGCTTTTTCAATGCAAAATTTCAGAAATGGCATTGGGTTGCTAAGCTGAGTCGCTATTTCTGACATTTGAATTGACTTACTGCATTAATTACTGCATTATTCTGTCATTAAAAGCTTTTGTTACTCATAATATGATTGCTGTTGTATTTATGTATATGATGACAACACCTGACATCCACACATGAAAACCAGAGGGCAGCAGATCATGTGAAAATATAATATTTATGTCATTCTCAATAATTTTGTACAGTTGTATGTTTACATCATCACTGCTGGTTACCTTTTATCACTGCTGCACTTAAGAAAAATGAAAATTTCTTGTGATTGTACAAAATTGACTAAGTCTTAAGTCTAGCTCAAATCAGTCTATTAACAATTAGGTTTTGGTTATGCTGGGGGATTTATTCATGCTATTGATTTTTTTTGTTTGATTACTATATTTTTGGAAAAACATTGGGGGGAAAAAAAAGGTCTCTAAGCATTACTATTATTTATTTGAAGTGTTTGAAACTTTTGGTGTCACTGAGTTTCCTTTTTCCACAGGTTTTTTTCCATTCACTGATGTGAAAATTCGAGGATGACTGAAAGAGCTAGATCAAATCCTTCAACAACTGCAGGTAGGTCCTCATGAGTTAAAATATTCCCTTTAGTCATGGCATAGAGATTTGTCAGGGACAATTTAGCCTATTTAAGTTTTAGGCTGTATGCCACGTATGGGACCAAAATTGTTGCTTTATTATTTGCAAATGTGTGTGTGGACAGTTGTGTGTCTGTATCTTATGGAAGCCCGTTTCCGCCACTCTGTTTAAAAAAAATAAATAAATAAAATTCTCATAATGAGATAGTATCTCATTATATCGAGTTAGTATCTCATTATAATGACATATATTTTTTTCTTTTTTTACAGAGTGGCGGAAACGGGCTTCCACAGTATCTCGATTTGTGTGTGTGCAGTGGGATTTGAAAATATGTAAATGAAACTGTAAATGTGTGAAGAGCTTTCACAGGCCAGCTGTGTAAATTCCACTCCTCCTATGAGGTCCAGATCTGGGAAGAATAACTGTCTCAGACATATTGTCCAGAAGCTGCTCTGTCTCTCTCCATTCAAAACACTTTCCTCCAGCAGGCCATTTAACCTTGTAACGTGTGCCAATGAAGATAACATTTATCTAAACTAAAGTGGTCTCTCCTTCAAATGTAACATTTGTTGTTTCAAATTAAATAAAAAATTTTGAACCTATATATTATAGTATGAGCGGGAAAAACTGTAATTGAAGGAGTAACATACAAGTCTGCTAGAATTAACGACCTTAGTGTTTTAACCCTGAAAATGTCTTTATATGATAAAGATTATCCCCAAAAATTCTTATATAGTGGATCTTGGGATATTACTATAACAAATATGCAGAGATGACAGTTTTAAACACAGGCACTCCTCTTTAACAGCATAATTTACCAAGCTAGACTGGGTAAAGGTAAAGCGTATGTGTCATATTCAAACCTTTAGGTGTATTTAAAATGTCTAATATATTTTGTAAAGCTTTGACTGTTTAATGTTTCAACAGGAAAACCAAGGAGCTGAATGGGAATGGTCTGAGCCTCCAGGATAATCGGCGTCACTGATCGTTTCCAAATCACAAATACATAGAGTTCAGACAAAAGCAGTTGAAGGTGGACTATTAATGTTTTGGTCTTCGAAACTATACTGATTGCAGTGTTTCACATTTTTTTTATTAGTTTTTACAGTAGATTTTATCTGTATGTATTTGTATTTCCTCTCCTCGTTTGGAGAAAAGGATTTCACCAACTTTTAAAGGCAAAAAAATTCAGATGAAATCTTTTTAGTTGTAGTTAAACCCTAATTTCAAAATTGGAAACCTGCTGAGTTAAACTCAAGTAAAGATTGAATGTCAAAATGTATCTTGGTTATATTATCACATCTGGCTCTAACCTGTTCATGCAGTTGTACTACTAAAGCGATTCATTGCTCACTTTGTTGCCTAGTCTATAATTTATTTTGGAGATGAACAAAGGAGTTTCTGACCTGTGGTTATTGTGAAACAAGCATTTTTTTATAATTAAAATTTAAAAATAAGATTGAACTCAATGACATGTTACGTTGTATGTGATCATGTGACTTAAAGATACAAAAAATAACTTTTCCTTAAGTGTTAAGAGTGTCGAGTGTTTTTTACTATAGAAAAAATAAAGCTATGCCCTACCACTAAGTGGTGTTGTGACAGAGCAAAATTTGATGAACAAATTTAAGTTTCAGAAAGTGTGAAATATTTGTATACAAGCTTGAATTTATTTTTGTTATATTCATCAATAACAAAAGTGTCAGTCTCCTGAGGGCCTTCTTCTCTGAGCCCAGCTGTGTTCTGTTCGAGCCTGTGTCCATGACAGGGGCCTTTCCAGGCACAGCAGTGCATGTCTCTCTGGACGGAGCCACTGGAAGCACCTCAAAGCTAGCCTTGGCCTCCCCAGACTCCAGATTTATGTGCATTTAATACTCTCCGAACCAGATCAAAGCCTTGTCTGGGTGGTCCGATCTCTCCAGGTAGCTCAGTTAGATTCTGAATGGAGAAGAGCATATCCACGCTCTGGGGTGTACAGTAGGTGTGTAGAGCCCGCTGTTTGTGGGAAACCTGCTGGTCAGCCAGAGAATACATGCAGGCCTGAGTGTTACAGCCCAGTCTGAGAGGGTCATCAGCAGAGTGTCTCCTCCTGAGCCCCAGGGGAAACAAATCATAGAGAGCCTTACAAATCTGCTGTGGGTGGTAAAACTTGTAGTTGAGAGGAGTGAGGAGGTCCTCAATTGTCTGGGACATGCTCGTCATGAAAAGATGCTGTGGGTAAAAAAAAAAAAAATCAGAGAAACTATTAGACTTAGACTTGTGCAGCTATTTTTATATCTAAAGGAAACATGTTTCAGGAAATTACAACTTTTTATGCTTTGAAGTATATGCCATCTTTATGTTTCATTCTTTATCTTTAATAGCATCTTGCAGGAGGTGTCTGGGGAGAGGGAAGTCTGGGGGTTTCTACTGAGACTGCTGCCCTTGAGAACGGGTCCTGGATACGGCGGAGGATGACGATGAAAAAAAAGAAAAAACATATCTGTTGTATTAGAGATATGGGTATTTTATTAAAAACGAGAAACAAAAAACTTAAGCCTGCTCTCTAAGTTGTTTTATATTTACCTTTTTTTTATGGTGTCTGGAATCTTAATTTTATAGAAAGACTTTAAAAGCAGCATGAGAGCACTGGGAATTCCTTTATGATGCAACTTTAAAACTTGGAGGAAGTTGGTGCTTAGTGTTGCATCTGTTCCTCTGTTTTAACTGAGCAGAGGAAACAATAACGAGATGCTGTGCATTGCTTGGACCAAAACGGTGTGACAGAATTTGACAAAAATAAATTTGAGTTTTTTCAAAATAAAAGACTAGTCATTTATGACCACTAAAAGATTATCTTTACTCTAGGTTTATTAAGTCATTTTCTTTTCAAGGCTTTTCATGCATTTCCTTTGTCAAAGCTAAAGTAAATCTAAATTACTTTTTTTCCAAGAACTGAAAGTAAGACTAAAGTGTATTTTCCAAATGAAAAATGGCAGTACTACTTTTTTTGCTCATGAAGCAGTAAAACAAAAACAAAGTAGTAAACGTGTGTGGTTTCCACAAAGTTGTCCCTTTTTTCATATATCTTTGATAACATATGTTATGTTATATAACTTACCCCTCAGGAGTAATTCAATTCAAATTTAAAAGTCATCCAGTAATTGTGAATATATTGGCTATTCATTTATCTGTTCGCATCTAAAAATCTCAACACAAACATGTTCCATGTTTGGAACCTGGTGTTATTTTCTAATATACCTGCATAACTAGCAATCCAAATTAAAAACGACTTGTTCTGCATTTTTCCACTATTAAATAAACAACTGACCACACAACACCATTGATAGTGTTGTCAGTATGATAAAGTATTTGCCCTCATACACCTTTTTTTGTTGTTGTCAAAACCTAAATCTTCCAGTTATAGAAATGATCTGCAAACCAATACTGCAGGTGTGTCACAATAAGCATTTGTAATCTGGGATTTCTTTTCACATTTAAACAGGAAGGACATTGCATGACAGGGTCAGCCTAATAGATCAGACAAAAAGACTTAAAAACAACGATCAGCTGCAGTAACTAGTCATCATCTTAAATTAATAGCAAATGAAGTAGAGACAGATTTTCCCAGAAGCCTGATATTTGAACAGACACACATTTAAAGAAGAGAATATAGATTTTGTCAGGTTGGGATACTTACAGTACTCATGGACACAAAACAAGGTTAATTGCAACATTATTGAAACCCTGTCATATTTTAGTTGAATGCAAACCTCTGACAAGTATTTATCTTTTAAGCATTTTGCAACAAAACTGTCAGTTTGAGGACGATTGGGAGATTACGATTGTGGGGGGAGTGTTGGCCTAGTGGTTAGAGCAGTGCGCTTGTGCTCTGAGAAGGTTGCAAGTACCCGGTCTGATCCCCACAGCCTCCGTTCTGGCTCTGAGCAAGACCCTTAACCTCACACTGCTCCCCGGGCAAGCGCAATGGCAACCCACTGCTCCCCAAGAGGGTGGCTTAAATGCAGAGATAAATTTTTCCAATGTGAGATCAATAAAGGGAAATTATCAATTATTATTATGGCAGGAGAGACTTCCAGTTCCAATTATACTGCAATTTACCAATTATTATGAAATCCAGTAGAAACATACAAAAAGTTGGTGACCAGTTTTAAATGGATCTAAATGTTTTAAAATCAGTATAAGAAATTTAATTTTTTTGATATTTTCAACATTTTATTTGAATTAATGTATACAAGACATAGAAATATGTTTTACCTTTTTAATAATTGAAAACCACTTTAATTCTGGATCTACATGAATTATGAATAATTTTGGAGATATGTGTTTTTTAAACATTTTATATTCAGAGTTGGCTAGTAACTGGTTATATTTTTTAACAAAATTATTTGTGGGAGAACTGCATTGTAGCTTTTACTTTTTCTTCATTAATAATATAAGAAAGTTTCGCTACTCTTGAGTCCTATTTCTGACTACTCTACCAACTGCGAATTTTTGGTTTAACATCTAACTAGGAATTGAAGGACTAACAGTTGTGAAAATCAAATATCAAAATTTAATTTGCCTGGCATCTAACCCTACACATTGAGAATATGTCTTCATAGTTAGTTTACATGTAAAAGAAGGTGGCCCATTACAGTAGTTATAACAATGTAGCACCATGTTAAAATATCAGCATTTGTACGCAGCTTTATATTCTTGGGATCTTTTTAATATGATCCATTGGTTTAGTCTGTGACCTGAAGGCATGCTCTAATCATATAGCTAACATTTGATGTGCAACAAAATAGTGCCATTTATATTTTTGCAGGAACAGCCACAGAGCTGTGATTTTCTTAGAATGTGGTATACAGAGCGTTAATGTTCATGTGATTCGAGTTAAGGCACATCAGACACATATTTTTGGTTTGTTGAAATACTATGTGTGATACAATGGCCAGAACTGTTAACATCTCATTTTCTGTTGTAAGACACTAAGTGAGCAATGTAAAAAACATATCATTGCTTTTTCAAAAAGTAAAGCATCTATACAAGGAGTGTGTAGAAACAAGTCATATTTACTCAAAAAAACTACTTGTTTACTTTTAGGACTAGTTCTATTTAGGCTTATTTTAATTATTGATTATTTCACATGAGTTATGTTACAAAAAAGTATAGCTGCTTTTCTTGGGTACTTCAGTAACTTAACCAAATAAAAGCAAATAGGCAAGAGACAAAGACTTGCAATTACAGTTTCTTGAAATTAGTATTATTTTTTCTACACACAAGCGATCTGCTGAAGCTGCTGTAGCAATTGGAGGTCAATTGAATATAGTTAATAGTAGATTCCCTGGAAGTACTTGTTGCTCTAGTGACAGTATCTACCTCCAGAAATACAATAATAATTGTAAGATTTATGGTATGTTTACAGATTTCTCCTGTCTAAAGTGACCTTTATTTGTTGATTTGTTTTTTTCTCTTAGTCTTTAAAACACCAGAATTTGCAATAACTTCTATACTTATCTACATTTGGGTAATCCTGATAACATAATCTTTAAATTGATCAATTACTTAGTGCCTCAGTAACAGTTTAACAAATGTTTACTCATTGTTTGTAATAATTTTTGGCCGCCTCCCCCCATCTGAGCCATTCTTTCATATCTAGGTGGTACTTTAGCATCCTGCACTCTGGGTGGCGCTGTGGTGCCAGATTTAAGTCTCTCTTCTCACGTAGCTAACAGGAAGTCTGGCTAGAATTTTCCAGAAAAAAAAGGTCTATATTCTTTGCCAGCGGCTGGTCTCTGAAAACGAAGTAAGATTTCTATGTTTGTTATTTATTAATTTGTTGTGCTATTTCCATCATATTTGTGCAACAATTTCCTCTAACGTCGCCTGTAGATGCCCGGCTTGAATCCTGCGTCATTTTGGTTTCATGTGGCTGTAGTGATGAAACCAGGAGGAGCTATTAGCCCGTGCTAGCTTAAAATGTCTCGACGGCCTAAAATGGCACTCAGCTTTCCATTTAACTAGCAGCAAACTCCACATCCCTTTTTGCTGCATTTGCTTCGTTAAATAACGTATTTGTTTTCATTTTGTTCTTTGTGAGCGAGTTTCCATCTTTTCGTATTTTTCTCATGTTTATATAGAATGGTGAAGATATTCGTGGGGAACCTGCCGCGAGAGGCTACCGAGGATGAGATCAAAGAGCTCTTCGCCGAATATGGCAAGGTCACCGAGTGCGCCATCATTAAAAACTTCGCCTTTGTTCACATGGAGGACCGTAAGGCCGCCACTAAAGCCATCAGGAGCCTCCATCTGCATAAGCTCCACGGCACGCCGATCAACGTGGAGGCGAGTCACGGGAAGAACCAGGGCCCAGTCAAACTGCATGTAGCCAACGTAGAAAAGGGCTCTGATGACGAGCTCCGTGCTCTGTTCGAAGAGTATGGGACGGTCACAGAGTGCGCTATTGTGAAGAATTTTGCTTTTGTGCACATGCCCAATCATGATGAGGCCATGGATGCCATCAAAGGACTGGATAACTCTGAGTTTCAAGGTAAGAAAAGTAATAATAGAAATGTATGCACTCTTAGACCTCAAACGTTCTCAGTAATATTATTTCTTTGTTTTTTTTTTAGACAAACGCATCCATGTCCAGGTATCTAAGAGCCGACCCAGAAACGATGAATATGAAGAATACCCACCCCCACCCCCAGAGAGGGGAGGCTATTGGCCCCCACACTACCCAGGAGAGAGGCCTGAGCCTCCCCCACCCAGCTACATGAGGGCCCGCCCTATGCCCCCCGGTTACCCAGCTCCTCCTCTGCCGCCCCCTCCCCCCAGACGAGCTGTTTATCCAGAGCGTCCCTATGAGAGTGAAAGGGAGCGATACAGCATGGTAGATTACTATGAGAAATACAGAGCCCGACCGTACGCCATCTCACCCTATGAAGAGCATCGTGCTGTTGCCCCACCCCCTCCGCCCCCGCCTTCCTCTGTCATTCGAGACCGCCTTCTAAGCTCATCGCTTGATCCGTATGAGCGTCGGCCCCTCCCCCCTCCTCCTCCGCCTCCCCCCTCATCGTACTACGCCCGAGATCGCAGCCCTATAAGGAGGGCACCTGCTGCACCGTTGCCCCCTCCGCCCAGTAACGGCTATGCCTATGAGCGCTCTCCATATTCAGTTCCACGTGCAAGGGATCCTTATGCAGACAGGCTGCCTCCGCCACCGCCTCCACGCTACGCTTACTAAGCAATCCGTCAATGATTTGAAGGTGAGGTTAGGACCGAGAAATGGGGAAAATAATTTTTTCGCTCTCCAGATCGTCCCTCTAAAGGCAGAGACCACTTTAGAATATTGTGGTGAAACTTGTAAGTTCGTAACATAAGTGTGAGAGAAACTGACGTTTTTTACTAAAGTGTGATCTGACGCTGCAGAGAATAAATGTTCTGCCTGGAGGCTGAGCAGGTCTTTAGACAGGACATTGCACAACAAAAGTAATGAAACAACCAGCTGTTTATTTTTTCGGAGGCAAATCGTTCATTTGTTTTATTTGCTCTTTTTTCAGGATTCTTGTCCGAGTGCGTCGCTGCTTCCTGATTCACGTGACTTTATCCTCTCCCTGTCTGCGGCTGAGCGCGTTGCGTTCCTCTGCGACGCTCAAAAGGAACTGAATGCTTTACGTCAATGGCTGTTTTTTTTTTTGTTTTAAGTGTCTAGAAATTTTTTTTTTCCATCTAGCTGTTTTAGTATTGAATTGTATTGTAGAATTTTTATTGGCAAACATCAGAATGGGGCGTCTTTTTTCTTTATATAAACCATTTCGTTTTATGAAGCGTAATATTGTGTATGACCTTAGAAAGCTAAATAACCTCAGCATTCCTTAAAAGGCGATTTAGTTTACATTGCAGTCTGCACGTTGGATTAATCATGTGAATGTTTCCCATCAAAATCTAAACCTCTGTTGCGTTGCTGTGAAACGTAAATCAATAAACTGTCAGTTTGTTGCACTGGTCATTTACGCAATGAACACTGCGTTTGCCAGGTCTGTAAAATTTTCATTCTTGATAAAACACTTTGATTACTCAATGTAATAACGATGCTCACTGCGCTACAAATCCCATCTCTGTAATCGTTTGTAATTATTAACTGTTTAAATATCTTTTTGTTCCTTTAGTGGAAAAGTAAGAAATCACAACCTTGTAAAAGCGTTACGTTGATTAAAGAACGCCTTTTGTCGGATATTGTGAGATCGTAGTTTTTACTCATCAGCGTAACACCCGACTTGACCCTCTAAGTATGAAAATCAATTAAAAGTCAACTCATTAATACTCTGCTCAAATATGTCCTTACTTTTGTTTCTTGACCTGGTGCAAGGAACATACCCAAAGTTGAAAGCGTCACAGTCTCCAGGTAAGTCAAGGGATTACTGAGATTGAAAAATGTCATTGTTTAGTCTTTTATAGGTTGTCAGTTCCAAGCCACAGGTTTGTATTCTCTAAATTATGAAGCTGTATGTCATAAGAGTGACTAGTATTAATGCAAGACTTCACAGATGAATGACAAAAAAAATTAGACCTAGACAAATTTCATTTTTTAAACCAGGGTGCAATTTATATCAGTATATGACCGGAGTAAGTTGGTTGCTCTCCTTTATGTATGAGATGTTTTTGTTTGTTAGCAAACCTGATTTCCAGTAGTTGTTAGTTAAAGGTTTTTGTTGAACTTCAATCATTTGAATTAAAGCCAAAACACACCAAACAAAGCGTCTGATCTGGTAGAAATTTTGATTTAATAAAGTTGCAGCAAATCCCGTTAAAAATGATGGGTCTGCTTCGACTGCACACAATTCTTTGCAGCTGTCTTTGTGTGGTTAAAACCTATGTAGAACCCCTTTTGATCAGAAGCCTGTTTCACAGCAGGTTTGCTGAAAAAATAATAATAATAAAAAAACTTAAATCAGGGAAAGTAGAATTCTCCGATTCAGGAAGAGAGTTTATTCATCCTCTTTCTGTTACTGTATTAACATTCTCTCTAACACTAACCTGGTCAGGAGCAGGTCTTGGTCCTCCCTAAATGTAGTCACATTGTTTAATCTCCTTATTTAATTAGCTCTCTTGTAAATTTTTTTGTTAACAATAAAAAGGAAATAATTCACTAGACCTTCTAGACACATTACTGCTAAAACACAAACGTTGCACATCATTTGATGAAGATCAAATTACAGAGAATAGAGAGTTTGTGGGGAAAAAAAGATGCCCTTTCATATTCAGGAAGTTTTTTTTTTTTTGAGAGTGCTACTTCATCTCACAATCCATCACATACATCCCCAACCTTATTTGTCCTCACATTTGTAGCATTACACAGACTTCTTTAACAAGAATTTAACAGCATTGTATTGGTGCGAGGCCGTCGATGTGTGATAACAGCATGATAGAAAACATCTGCACAGTCAGCCAGTCAGAGCCACTTTGTATTTACTGTGTAATAGAATACAGAATCAAAACTAGAAGGAAGCTCATGAGATGATGCCCTACCCGTTTTAAAACTGATACCAGAACTGCTTCTCCCCAGTGACATTGCATTACTACATGCTGTTTATATTTAGGTTTGTCTGAATATGTATTTCTGATATCAGAAATGTATACTTTCCTTGTCAAGATAAATATTTCAATCAAAATGACATTCTTTATATCTAAATGAAACATTCTCGGTGTCTGAAATTTATTTCCAGTTCTTCATATTCCTATTGTTAGTGGTTATAAATAGTATTATTTGTGTTCCAGATCTCATAAATACATATTAGGTTAAGCTGATAAATGTCGAAGCAGCTGCTTACAAGGGTAGAAATTTTCTAGGTATGTAAGACTAAATTAAAAGTGTAATTTTTTTTTCAAATTCTGAAATTAAGTTCCTCCTGGCAAAGATTTAATTTAGAATACAGATTACTATAGTTCTGTCTAGGAATGTGATTTTCACCAGGCAGAATCCTATTTCAGTGATCAAATGTAAAAACCAGACTGTATATAAACCTGTACATAAACTTGAACAGCAATCATAGTGCATAAGCTTTTTCTTTTAAACACATTCTTCAAGTATTTTCTAATTATGCATTAAAATCTGTGAAACATATTTGTCTGTAAAACCTGCTACGTAGAATGGGCCTCAGATTTACAAGACATTTCAGGGGATAGTCATCAGATGGACAGGAAGAGACATGCTGGCAAAGTAAAACCCTTTCGATTTGTGGGAAATGGAAAATAAAATCTCTGAATTCAGAGGTTAACCGGCCAGATTCACCCTGAAATAGGTGTCTTTGGACAAATGGTTTATATATGGCAGACGGCATACTTGGACAAATGTATCAAAACATTTAATAATTTGTTAGAATATCACTTTACACATGGGAGGGGTTCGCCAGCACATTAAAAACAGAAAGTGAAACCTTAATCACCTTCGAACCTTTTAGAGCTGTAACCACACCACCGCTTTTTAATGCTGGGGGAAGCTGTGCAGCAGAGCTAACGTGATTTTATTAAATAAAATTCCAGCCAGAGTATTAAAGCCTTAGATGAGTTTAAGCTAGGAAAACTATAACCCAGGGATTGCCACCTCTGGAAGACTGACTTTGGGCAGCCCTTGTGTAGATGATCAGAAATCGAGTGTTCACTCAAAGATATGGCTCCGTATTTTTAATGTGACAGATGAAGAATACTTACGTGTACGGTGACGTGCATCGGAGTATTGGTGGATGTGTAACAGCATACGTGAGAGGGGCGGACGGAGTATTTGAAATCTGGGGGTAAGGGTCCAATACCTGCACTCCTACTTTTGCAAACTTTTGAGGCTACAGCTAACAATTTTGCAAATCGATTAAACTGTCGATAATCGGATAGCCATTCAGATAAAACTAAAACTTTTCCGCATGAGGAGTTCTGGATAGAGCATATTTACTGATGAAATACGTTGTTTTTTTTATTCTTAAATGCCAAATGTTTATATATATATTTTTTTTTACAATATTGATATTAATACTGCTTTAAATATGTCGGCTAAAGGCATGTTTTATAACCTCTATACCCCAGTTAAAGATTAATCAATAACTAAAATAGTTGACAATTATATCAATAATCGATTAATCTGATTAATTGTTTTTGCTCTACATACTTCAACTGCCCTTTCCCACAGAGGGTTCCAGTACGTGTTGTGTCCCAATCCTCCAGAGTGGTCTTTGGTTCGCCCCATGCCACCCTGATCCACACTTGAGCTGAATTTAAAGCGGACTTCGGTGATAGGAATTGCTGCATGTGTCGTTATAAATAAAACACCTGGAATGTGGTGACGATCAAGCTCCTGTCTCTTTCCGTTTGAATTTGTTTGAAGTGATAAATTGGTCAACATAAAATTCCCTGTAAATCATTCACAAGTCACAAACCGATAAAAATCTAAAATAATGCTCAATAATTCTCTACAAACTCCTCTTTCATCAAGCTTGTAAAGAATTATCAAGGGGATAACTTGCAAAAAAAAAAGGGAATTTTCATTAAAGAATGGTGTGTAGGGGAGTAGTTTCTGTGAAAGGTTTATATATCTTTAATGTATACAATTTTAACCAACTTGACATTTCGTAAACATAACTTTAGATATTATATAAAATAAGCAAAGCCACAGCCCAGCCCTTACATTCAGTCAATCAAGGTCACCCTGTTTAAATTAATCAAATTTTGATTAATTACTGTTCTGAATAGAACAGTAAGACCTGTTCTTTTCAGTTATCCTAAATAAGGACTATGTATAGAAAGTATAAAGCTCTCAGTAACAAGTATCCTCATTAATATTCACTTTTAATTTATTAAATGGCCAATTGCTTCAAAACTTAAAAGAAATCCAATTTAAAATAATTTTAAAGATTAGATATACATTTTGTGTAGCTTATTTTGTTAAAGAGGGAATTATTGCCTGTATTTCATGTGTATCTATTAAGTTCTGGTTAAAGTTCAATATAATAGTCCAAGCAAACCACCTGCTATAATACCAATATTTTAAAATAAATTCTAAACTTAACAGGGAGCCAGTGCAAAGACACAAGCATTAGGGTTTTTTTTTTTTTTTTTGGTGCCTGTTAAAAGTCGTGCCGCAGCCTTCTGGATTGACTGCTAGCGGGACGGTGCTTTGTGGCAAATTCCCGAATAAAGTGCATTGCAGTTGTCCAGACAACTTGACATAAACGCATGTTTGCAAGCATGCTTGCTCGAAAAGATTGAAAGATAAAATCGGCTTTACTTTGGAAAAGAGATGAAGATGATAAAAACCTGATTTTTAAAACATCATTGATCTGTTTATCAAATTTAAAATCGCTATCTATGATGACGAGTTGTAACATTACAAAAGCAGGGATGGGTCCTGTAATTTTCGGCGTCTCTGTTATGCTAGTTATGATAGTGCAAGTACTGTCCCAATTCCCCAGATTTTGCAGGCTTGTGAGCTGTTTATTTGAACTGTTAAGTGCACGTCCTTCATGTGCGCACTTCATAGAGTGGCTTAGCGTTTAGTGTGTGTTTTGGGACTTGGCCAATGTCTCCTCTAGCTTCCTGTTAATCATCCAATCATTAGGCACAGGTTTTGAAGCAGAGACATATCTATAAGATGCAGGACAGTGGACCCCGAGGAATGCAATTAAGAATCCTGTTCTACACAAATTTGCTTTACTGATAAAGTTTTGTACTTGACCCAAATTCAAATTCATTGTACTGGTTTCCCAGCATACTGCGCTTTCACTGTCTGAAAAAAAAAAAGGCCCTTGCTGGTTACAAACTTGTCCTGGGGCTATGCCCATTGTAAGTTCATTATTAAAACGGATGGCAAAGGTATATATCAGTGCTTTTAATCTGTGCACACATTCATATGTGAAGATTGTAATGAATGCAAATAAACCTTAGAAAATATCAGACAGCTTCAGGACAACCCCTCCTGTTGCATTGTGGGGTCTGGGAGTCTATCAAAGCCCTCCACTCCCAATGAGTTCACATCATATCCATCCATTTTCCTCACCTTAACCTTCTGGGGTCGTGAGGGGTGCTGGTGCCTATCTCCAGCTATCAATGGGGGAGATTTGGGGTACACCCTGGACAGTTCGCCAGTCTTATCGCAGGGCAACACAGAGACAAACAGGACAATCATCCATTCATGCACACACTCACACCTAAAGAGAATTTATGAGAGGCCAATTAGCCCAACAGTCATGTTTTAGACTGTGCTGTAGTACCCGGTGAGAACATGCGAACTCGATGCAGAAAGACCCCGGGCCATTAATCAAACAGGGAACCTCTTGCTGCAAGGCAGCAGTGCTGCCACTGTGCAGCCCAAGTCCACATCATATTGCTGAGTAAAGATATGACACCTTTAAGAGCTTCTGTCCTATGAAATTGTAGTCTGAAGCATACACTATTAGATAGCGTGACACTCACACAAAGAACACACCTATACATCCAGAAGGTGGCACCAGATGATAGGTTAGTGGTATCATGACTGCAGCCAATCAATGCTGCTGAGTTAACCACCTGATTATACTCACGAGCGCCTATCATAGCTGAATTGGAAACAATTACTCGCTGCGGAGTTGGTTGAAGATGGACAACTTCTAATCGTGTGTATACATTGCTGGTTGGTTTAAATATTGTTCAACCTTTTTCTGTCTGTCCCAACTTAGAAGAGGTGTAATGCAATGCATTAGTTATATTCTAGACCTTAAGTTGATCTCTGATAGGGATGGATCTCTCAGACAACACAGTTTACAACATATTTGGAAAATTCTTTTGATGGTAAAGTTCATTAAAAGAAACTCTTTAACAAATGCCCAAATAGGCCTAATTGTGTTTTGTCATTCATCTGTAAAGTGAAGTTATTCAAATATTTTCAGTTAATGAATTATGACCTTAAGTGTTTGGGGGAGAATGATGGAAAATAGTTTTTTTTTGTGTATTTCTCTTGTTTGTTAATGTTTCATTTTTTTTTTTTCAATATGCATGAGAAATAAAGTGTAGACAAGCTTGTATTAGTATTAGTAAGCTTGTATTAATTCAAGTTTGGAACTGGCACTTGATTAAGTAATTAAGGACTTTTCAAAATATGTACAGTGATTTGACTTTTTATTTTTTTATTTATTCTGATCCACATCATTAAAATATTTTTACCCGTACACCAGACTCTGTTTATTTCACTAGTTGTGTTTCGTGAAAATCAATGTTGTACTTTTTGGTGACATATATTTTGAACTTTGGCAATTAAATAACACTCAAATTGATAATGAATGATAAGAATATAATTGAATGATAATCAAATTAAAATCAAATTCCTGGTAAGTGCAAACTTGGCAATAAACTTGATTCTGATAACTTTGTTTGCTTTGTGGACTAGTAGGACAGGTATAACGCTATTTATCTTTTTTAAACAAAATTTATGGGTAGCTTTATTGGAACTTGAAATATTTGAAAATTGAAGATGTATTTGGGTAAATCTAGTTTCAAGTAATTTATAAAAAGTAAAATTGAGAGAAGATTACAAAGTAATTAACAGTGCTGCTTTACCGTTTTGTTTTTGATAAATTGTCTCTAGTTTGTCTACTATGTTGGTAGTACCCTAGTAGAAGTGGGTAATTAATTAAAGTTATTTAAGTTTCACTGCATTGTACCCTTGAGTAAAAATATGGAGTATCACCAACCTTTAGTAAGTTGTCTGGCTACTCTCCCAATCAAGAATAACTTTACGCTATAAATTACAAACGGGTTTTTAAACAAATAATCAGCAGAGAGATGCACCCCCACACAGCTTATGAATAAATAAGACTTATTTCCTTTGGTCAAGGTTCCTTTTTCCCAAGTACTTCTCTATCTGCTGTCATACAGAGGTCAGTTGACCATACGATAAACAGCATACTGCACATTACTGAAAGTCATGCACCCTATTCTCACTTAATGTATATAAGAAAGTAAGTCTTTCTAATCAGTTGTTCATCAAAGGCTTTTTCACTGCTCTGCTCACTGTAATGTGTTGAGCAGGCACAGAATCAGTTTTAATCAACTTTAACCCACTGAATATTGAACTCACTTTCACGGTTTTAATTAATTAAATCTTTGCTCAAAATAAACACTTGGTTCATTGCATTTAAATATTCTAAGTTAAGAGTAATAGAATATTCTCATGAGATGTATGTATGTCAGGCTCGGACTGGGAAAGATTTTTGGCCGAGACATTTTTCCATCAAAACAACCCCCCCCCAACCTCCACGACTTACCCACCCAGCCCCCACCCTATATATATAGATATAGATATCTCTATATATCTATCTATAGATAGATCTATATCTATCTATAGATAGAGATATAGATCTATCTATAGATGGATATATCTATCTATAGATAGATATATCTATCTATATATAATGTTGTTTATTGAAATGTTTGGTATTGAATGTTTGGTTTATTGAAATGTTTTTATCTGTCCCTGTGCAAATGCGTTTTGCTGTCATTTAGAAAAGAATACAATAGAATAGAAAATCCCTTTATTCTCCCACAATGGGGAAATTCTTGTGTTTACAGCAGCAAAAAGATTGCAGGAAAAAAATGAAGCACAGATTTCAATATGTGATATTCGCGACAAAGGTACTGCTACTGAGGCCCCTTGAAAATGTAATTAGCATACAGTAGCATAACAACTGTAAAAAGTTTGGTTTCCATTCTTTGCATGCTTTTTGTGTCAACTGTTATTTGATCGG